TAGGGGCTTCATGTCACTAAAAAAATTACCTCTTCCCTTTAATGCTACCAGGGGAAAACTGAAAAAAGATCCTTCTCTAAATTTCTAATTAGGAGCTACCAAGACTTAATCATTTATCATATTCAGTACAGAGCAGAAGTGTTATCTGAATGTCTGAACTGTGCATATCTTCCTTTAACTGATGACCTCAGGTTTATGAAGTTTGGTTTGCACTTGATGATGAAGTTTTTCTAATGTGTTTTTTACTCTTAAATTAGTCATATATAAAATATCCATCATGATGTCCTTTTCCCCAGGTAATATGTATGAACAAGAACTCTGTATTATAGTGAGTGCCTCATCCAGCAGGATTTTTACCCTAGTTATCTAAGATGAAGGAATGCAAAGGGGAAAAATGATCTTAATAATTCTTCTGTAACTGCTTTTGTGAAGAGACAAAGATACAAATAATAAATACAAATATGATATAAATAAAAAAATAGATATTATTAAAACAAATATACAGATATAAATATGGAAACATATAACTTATTCAGAAAGCGCTTTGTTTAAATTTGTTTCCATGGAAGATTTTGTTCAATGGTATTTTATCTTCCAGTCTGAAGATAATAAAAATCCAATTCACTGTTGCTAGGGGCATTATTATTTTATCTTAATTTGGAGAAAGATGATTCTAATACATTTAAAGTTTTCTTCAAGCAGGAGAAAGCAGAGACTAGCTCTGTAATTAGAACAGTTTTCCTACATCTGGTTCATGACACTACTTAAGAAACAAACAAAAAAAGAAACAAAGAAAAAAAAATTACTCCAATTCATTTACTCTTTCATTTCAAGGAGGATTAAAATTTTGTTTTTACAGTAATTTAGTAATATATTATTAGTATTCAACATCAGTCACAATGCTATAATTCATTCAGTAGGTATTTCTCAGTTACCTGTCTAACAGAAAAATCCCAAACAACCTCTGATTTTACTTCAAAAACCAATCAGCCCTTTTGTATGTCATTTGCATTTGAGCAGATAACAAACTTACAAAAGTAAAATTACAGTGCTTACTCAAAAAACTAATCTCCACTCGTCTGATTTGCCACCAGCCTCTCCCCAACCTGCAGCAATATTTTCAAAGATTCATTTTTCCTGTGGCAAATATTTCACTTGCTGTCAATTTCAATTCTTAGACCAATAAGTCAAAACCACTTATTTCTTGAAATATTGAAAAAGTAAGAAGCTGAAAGGGAATACTTCATTTCTTGTGTAAAGAAAGAATATTGGATTTGTATAAGGGAGAGAGACAGATGGCACGACTCTTGTGGCCATGACAAAAAAAAACAGTCAGGAACTGGTACACCAAGTTCTGTGAGTCCTTAACGCAGAGCAGGAGCAACAGTGTTCAGTACACAGCTGCACAGCAGCACCTGGAGCAACGCCTGCTCTGCATTCAGTAGCTTAAAAATTTGTAGCTACAGGAGCTACTTAGTGGAGTGGCCATCAGCTCCAGAGACCTTCTGCTATTTGCCTTGTCCAAGCTCTCCTCTAGGTCGTAGACACATAATTTACCCTCCAGAAAAACTTGGTATGGTCTTGTTTGCAGCACCTTTAACTGCAGTGTGGTCTGACCCAGATAGTCGGAGAAATGCCATCCACAGAGGTTTGACCCAACTGGTTCAACTGTGCAGGGAAAACACCATTATCCATGGCTATATGTGTATGATTAGCATAATGATGTGTGTCAGGTGCGATATAATTTAAAGTGGGTGAAAAAGTCTGCTGATATACTGAACATATCCATCCACATCATCAGTTCTTTCAAACTTGGCCTATACAGCTTATATCTTAACTACACCAGTATACAACAACTCTTCTGACAAGATCAGCAGAGTTACCACAGATATATATCAATACAAATGAAAGAAAAATCTGGCTCCAAGCGAAAGAGGAGAAGACCGTAGAGGATATACAGAGCTCCTCAAGAGCTGTGTCTCAGTGTGTGTCATTCTAGCTTCAATGTCTAAATAAAACTGGCCTGTGCCTCATTCACAGTTGTGACAGATTCAGGAAGGCTGATGAGCGCAAACATTAGCCATACTTCAGAACCTCTGCAGGTTTGGGGTTTTTTTGTCTGTTTGGGTTCAAAATATTTTGTTCTAGGGGTACAGTCATCTCTGAAAGCCTTGTAGCTCTGTTTGTAGGGATTGCACTTACCTCAATATATTTACCTGCAAGGCAAGGTGTAGTAGCAGGAGACCAATCATTCACTGACAGGTCTGACAGGTCCCAGAACAAAACCCATCTCTTGTCATCCCAGCCTGGATTCCCAGAGATGCCAAACAGAGTCCCAAAAAGTCCTGGAGCAGTGAATGGGTGGAAGCTGGTTGAGTCCTGGATGAAAGCTTTATATATCTCCACACTGTTCTTTGCTCCTCCCTGAGTGTCTGCTCCCTGGTGTCTCCCAAGCTAGATATATGTCCAGTCTGACCTAGTGTGGTTGCTCTTATGTTGTTATAGAGTGTGGGCAGAAATAACATATAACCCTCTGCACCTGACTGTAGACATGCTCTTCTATGCAAAGAGTAATATTTCCTGACATAATGAAATGGGATAGAGTACCAGCTTTTTCCAGTTTGACTTTTTGATCTCTGTTTTAAATAATTCACGATTCACAGATGCACTAAAAGCTTGCTTGGGAGACAACAAAGGACCACCACTCCCTACTCACAAGCGCAGGAAACCAGACTGCATCAGCAGAAACACATGCTTGGAGTGAAAACCCAGTTCCATCAAGTGTTGTCCTTCACCTGGATGTGGACAAGATGTCACATTTATTTCTGGATTGTTCTGATGGCTCTTTTATCTAGACTAAACATTCATGGGTACACTTTGAAACACACTCATTAGTTTCTCAGAGATGGGAACAGTGGTTGAATTTAAAAGCAAGTTCACAGGAGTCACTCTTTACCCTACCTTCACCCTCTGCCTCATGGTGACTGAGTCACTGAAGAAATGACTCAGGACATTTTCCTTCTCAAGACCAGAGGTGCATCAGAACCATTTTTATTGACATGTAATCATATGATTCTAGACACCAGAAGAGCTCTTTAGTCCCAGACCAGACACAATATTTCACTGGTCTGGTGAAATACAGTCTTTATACATTTAAGTAGAGATTTCAATCTGTAACATTTCATTTTGGACTTTTTTTTTATATATATAAAAAGGAACCAGACAAAATCTACACTTTACTCAAGCAATAACTGAAGGAAAAAATAACATCTCATTACATCTGCTCAATGCTACAACTACTTCATTTAAAATAACAGCAGTGTCAAAAAAGAAAAAAAAAATCTTAAACATACCTACGTATTTAATCTTTCCTTTTGCAATTGCTCCAGGCTCAGTAATGCACAGCATTCAGAGTAATTTGAATATAATTGAAGCCTTCTTTTTTTTAACGTGTGTATTATGAAATTCTGAGTCTCTGGAGGTGAGCAGACACCATGTGACACCTACTTTATTATTTTGCTTCAGTGATTTGACTTACTGAGAAGTAAGCTTAATGCAAATAAAATGGCTTTCCCCTCCTGGCATTTGGCAGGCATACAGAAATGCAAGAGAAGAGCACAGTACCTAGAGACACGCGCTTCTCAGAACTGTGTTTGGAAAGAATAAAAAGCATTTAAATTCAAAACAAACCATCTGTGACAACCCCTAAGCAGTGCCTCATTTCAGAAAGTGCAAGCCTGGGAATGAAAGTGAAACTGAACGTAACTGTCAATTAAAATAATCTAATATAGACTTTTCTGCCTTTGGGGGGAGGGTGGGCACAGGTTTTCTGGAAGCCCACTCTTTTTCTTTTCCTTAGCATATATTTTACAGTTCAGGAGAACTGAATCACATCTGTAGCCAACATATATTACACACCTCATGGGAGAAAAGGTGATGGAAGAGGCACTATCATTGCGGATCACCTCTCAGCAGTTCATATCCACAACTGGTATAAGCTAATATAACTTCACGTCAAAATTAATTCCAAAACAATTTCTAAGAGAAGAGTGACTTCATATTAGAAATAAGGTATTCACCATTCCCCATTTGGGAAAGTGAAAATATTGTCTCTTCGACAGTTGCATTCAGAAATGAAAACCACAGAGTTTCTGACAGTTTACTCAGATCAGAAATAAACAGAGCAATGGCAGCATAGCCAAGGTAAGTAGAAACACATGGAAATTCCTGCTTGCCCAAGCACTGTATATACACTATACATTGGCTGGCTACACCTTTGGATTTACAGGATTTAAATCAGATCAGAGTTTGGTCCTCAGAGTATTCAACAGGCAGTTCTGGGAAGGGGTCCAGAAGAATTCAGTCAGTAACCATGAAGACTGTCATTTTATAAGATATAAGTTGCAGACTGAAAAAACATGTATTGTTAGGCAGTAAAATTACAGTTTTATTTCTTATTGAATTTGGAGCTACACTGCAAGCTATAGAAAATGCTCAGCTAATAGGACATTGCATATATTTACTGAATCTGGAAAATACCCCCGGGACAGCAGCTCTCGATCCTGCCAGGATACTTTGCATAGGCACTGAGCTACAGTTGTACGTGTGTGAATACCAAGTGTGTTTCAAGGCCTTCTGTTTTATCATTGCTATTTAGCAAGCCATTTTGTCAACTGAATGAGTATAAGGTTATTTAAAAATGTAAAAACCTGGAAGGTATTTTAAATACTGTTTTATCAACAGTCAGGTGTTAATCTATGGTTAAAACAAGGTAATAGCACAGCAGCAGTTCAAGCTCTGCTTGCCTTGAATATGCAGAGAGTCCCACCACAATCAAAGTCTGGTCTCAGGATTGGACCAGAGAGGTGAAAAATCAGTGTATGAGTTTTCAGCAAATCATGGACTTGCCATGAACATATCTACTTATGGAGAGCTACCCCGGGGCACAGCTGTGGCTGCATCACTGACCCTGAGATCTCAGCTGTAACTCTGTCTTCCAGGTATTCCTTTCAAGATGAAGAAGACATGTTCATGGTGGTTGATCTCTTACTCGGAGGCGATCTACGTTACCATTTGCAGCAGAACGTCCACTTTAATGAAGGAACTGTTAAGCTGTACATTTGTGAGCTGGCACTTTCCCTGGATTATTTGCAAAGATACCACATCATTCACAGGTGAGTGAACTTCATTTGAGGGATGGGCTGCTTTCTTCTGGCATAGCAGAGGAATTTAATCACATACCTGATTACATGGTTCTGTTTATTCAAAACCTCTGAAAAGTTTTCATTGTTATCCATGGGTGGAATTTGCCTCTGAAAAGGTTTTTTCAAGTGTTTTCTTTCTGCCCTCAGCCATTCAGTAGCTCCATATCCTTCTCAATCTACCCTTTTCTTGTTTTTATCTCATACGATGATGCATGTATCTTACTATGGTCTTTAAACACTAAATATGACCCATAACAACCTCCTGGCTGCTTTTAATTTATTTTTAGTTCTCCAGTGCCCCAGTGTTCCTGAAGACAAAAATGTTGTAATCCAGTACAACAACTTCATACAGCAGCATAAGGGAAAAGTCACAAAACCAAAGGCTGAGAATAATTTGTTTACTTGCAGAATCTGCATGAAGGTCAGAAGGAGGAAGAGAGGTGGGAAAATAAGAGAAATAGTAGAAATAAATTGAAACAGTGATAGATGGAGCATCCTTTTGCACTTCTTAGATTACAACAATCTATTATTTTTACTGCCTTAGAGCGGGCAGTCATAGCATTCATGCCAAAAAAGGTGTTAAATATCAGAGTTTGTTTGTTTTCCTTAAACAATTTGGCATTTAACTGAAGCAGCGGGATAACTTCTCTTTTTATGTTAACACAGCAACTGTGAAATTATAAAATGATGGGCTTGAGCCTCTATTTTACTCTTTTTTGGCTACATTCAGGATATTCCTCCCTGAGTTACAGTGGTCTGAATACAAAAATAATTAGTTTTGTGTGTTACTGAAGCTGGATGTGAGTTTCAGAGACCAAACTAAAATAAGCTGTACCATAGATCATCCAGTGTCCAGTATAAATAAATTCCTCCAAATATATTAATTGAGAGTTTTAATCCCATCCACCTACCAGAGCTGCCTCATCATATTGCAATAAAGAACCAATAGAAAAGTATGATCTGACTTTCTGAAGAGGGAGGGTCTGTACAAAATCTCTCTGATCTGAGGTGCAGTGGTAGATGGGTGTTCTGTATTACTGAAACTGTGCAAGACAAAATTCAAGTAAACATTGCAACAGTAGTTTTGCTTGCAATTAAAACTCCCACAAATGTTGCAAGCAATTTCTGAAATTTTGTATCTTTAGCACACTGTTATTATTTTAGTACATTTCCATGTATTTTGCATACGTTTTCCTTTCTCAGTGAATATTTTAAAAGTGAGGCTCAGAATTTTGGCTGACCTTTGTTTCTATGCCTTAAGGAATGTTCTTGGTGAAAAACAAGTTGATGAGCGTTTTGCTCACCCTCATTTTAATGACGAGACATGTTATGCAAATAGGCTGTCAAAACATTCACGAGAGAATCCAGTTTGTAATCAAAATTTGTATTTTGCTGCAAGCCTGCAACTTAAAAGTGTTTCACAGAAAAGTCTGTGAAAGGTGGCAGATGTCTTGAGAGAATGAAGGACTGGATTGAAGTCATTGTGGTGGTTTATAGCTTTTTGTGACAGTATCTGCATTGCCATGGTCCAACTGTGAAATTGGGCAAGACACTTTGTTCTCTTCTGTATTACTTAATCATGACTAGTAAACACTTGATTTGACTTAATTTTCTCTTTTGCACTGGTTGTAGTATAGAGTAACACCACTGACTTCAACACTTTTTAATTTGCACCAAGGCAGGGGAAGGCGTAGGGGTCTGGAGCTAGTTGTTGGCTCCATTTGGGGGCGAGTTCTGGGATTTGGTTTTTGCTTTCACTCTGCACTGAAAGTTTTCACAAAACCACACGGAGTCGGGTCTCACTGGCTGGTTAGCTAGGATTATTGTTTAGGATATAAAGGATCTGGTTCAGAACTCCGCTGTGCTATAAAAGAGATGTTTATTTTGAAGCTGGCAGACCTGAGATCTGAGCATGGCTCTCCCACTTCACTGTTTACTGCCCAATAACCCAACTGTGGCACGAGGAGCCTTTTGTCTCTCATATTCCCACCAATTACCGTAAAATCCCAAATGATCCATATGCCAGTGAACACGTTATTTAGCCAGGAGAGTCCCAGCACATTCTGCCTCTGCCTTGCCGCCACATGGAACAGCACTCTGTGGGACAGTCTTCAGCTGCCATAAATCTCTGTAGCATGGCTGGTGTCAAGAGCGCAACGCTCATTTAAATTGGCTAAGGAGCTGAGCCAGCAATGATGCACAGTGAGGAGATGTGTAACGATTACTTTACCGTTGCAAACACACCATCTCGGTCAGAGATTAAACCAATGAGCTGGTTGGTGCCTATACTTTGTGGTAGCAGACCTCAGCAATATCATTATGACCAAGTCCTTCCAGTCAGCATTCACACGCTAACCTACAAAACTCTATTAGATCTTTCACTTTTTAATCAGTACACTGGCAGCAAAAGGGAAAAAAAAAGGTTAGTGAGTCACAGAGTCATTGAGAGAGCCCCCTACTAAATTTTGTGTGTGCTACAAAGAAAGAACAGTTGAATGATTCATCAGACTGGGTAGGTGGATTTTCAAATTGCAGTATTATAAAGAGCTGAATATATGATGTGTGAGTCAGGAACTTAACTCCTCCTCAATATTTACAGATGTGTATGAAATGTGTTCAGGTTTCCATTACTATTGCATCCAGCAACATGACAGAATGTTTTTTTCAAGATTAACCCACAGCCCCAGGAGTTTACTGTAAAAGGAAGTGGTAATGAAGGGAACAGGAAAAATCAGGCATGTATGAACATATGTAGAAGTGCCCAGATCGGTGCTATGCCAGTTCCCCTTGGAGATACCATACAATGCTTCTGTATTGGCTGATGTGGTTAGTGTTGTGTACTTTGAATGTGACAATCTTTTCAGCAATAGAAGTATTGTTTTTGCAGGGGCAACTTTAACCATAAATAGTGTAAACCCCACTACTGTTCTGGTGTGCTTATAAAACTTGTCATTTTTATTAATCACATCCATGTATATAAATCCATATTTGTCATGCACAATCCTGCAATAGTAGTTTTATTTATTATGGCACAATAATGAATGCTGCACTGTGTGTCTCACTTGCAGCTCTATTGTAAATGTTTGCATTTACATAGATTTTCAGCCAGAATTATTAACACTTTAAAAAGAAGAACTGTAAGTTTCAAGCTATGATCTGAAGACTATTCTGGGCAAACTTTTCACTTAACTTACACAACAGCTAACTTTATACTGAGATATCTCTACGTTGTTGGTCACAGGTAATGGCTGCATCACAAACCCCTATTTCTTCACAGTCCTGCTGTAATAATATTTTATCTACATTTCTTAAATGAAAAAATAATTCTTTAAAAGTTGGATGACCGGTGTTTATTATAGACCCTTGGATCCAGTATGCAGAGAAAGGCTTCTGACAATTCACATGGACGCTCTCATTCATTCTCTAATGTTGGATAGAATCTGGCATTCTGTATTAGTGGACATCAAGTACTGCTTGTATAATACCAGTGAATAATGTGTTGGACAAAAGTTTTCCCATCAAAGGCTGAATAAACTTATTTCAGCCATGAGTAACTCAACTTCCCCCTTTCACAAATGTTGTTGTTCATACATTTCAATAAAACCACCTGCTTCCTCACCAAAGTAGGCTGCCCATTTTCATTCAGCTTGTTCTAGCAGCATCTCCCGCGTTGTCTCTCCCAGTATGGTCTTGCAGCTAGAGCTTTGGCTTGGAGCAGCGCTGGCCCTGCAGTGCTGCAGCTGCTGCCCAAGTAACATGCTCGTGCTGATAAAATCACATTTTCTCTTTCTAAAGGGGGCAAGTGTTAACTGCATTGCCCTTACAACTTTTCATCATCGTTTGGCTCCATTGGTTTTCATCTGCTCAGAAAGGAGGCTGGATGAGGCAGATGTCTGGAAAGGAAATTGCAGTAACCTTCCAGAACAATTTTAGGATACTGGACTAGCTGTTTGATCTGCATGCCCAGGGCTTTTTTATTTCAGTGGGTTTTTCTAATGCAAAACCATTTGTGTGTGTATGTGTACATAAGCATAAATATAAATTTTTCGTTGAAGCACAATACGACTGGAATCGGTCCAGCTTGGCAGGTCTGTGTTGTGTGGCTACTGTGATCACCACTCTGTTTTCCAATCCCACAAGTTCCGCTTCCAGTGGAGAGTAACACCAGGAGTTATTCCAGCTCCGAACAGCTACTCAGCAGCAGTGCAGGGTGGGCAAAAGCTAATGGAAAATGGTGACAAATCGAGCATTACATTTTCCTCTGCCAGCTGATCCACTGCAGAGTAAGAGTGTCTTGCTGCTACCAGGTAGACGGGATGTACTCTTTGTTCAGCACTGCTAAGCTGGGCTGTGGTGTAGGAGATTCCTGTTTGTTCATTTCCATTTCACCAGCAGTCTGGTGAAATAAGATAATAGGTTTAAATGATTAGACTCTTCTTAAAAATGGGCCTTCCCAGCCTCACTTGTGACACCATACACCAAAAGAACGAACTCTATTTTAAAATGTTCCCTTTATAACACTGTCCATTTAGTATGTAAGCAGTAAATAGGTTTTGAAATTTTTTGAAAATGGAGAATTTGCCCTTTATCGTTTCTCACAGACGTCATAGGTAGAATAGTGCCAACCTGATGTTTACCAGGCCACATTAAAAGGACACAGTTCCTTATGGATTTCAGTAATCTTTTTCTTGCTGTTAGGCATGTGCAGATGAAGAAGAAAATGTAGTAGAGTCTGAAGTAGATGAAATTGGAAAAAAAATAACCGTAATGTGACGACTATTCATAAGCACTACCAAAGATCATGACAGGTCAAGAGGCCTGTCCACTGAATTTTCTTAATTTGCCTTCCCATGTCTCCTCCATGTCTTTGTATTATGTTCTTTAAACAAGTGCAAGCCCACATTATTTCCAAGGACAAATTGCAGGAAATGAGCAATGAGTTATGTAAGAGAAGCAAATTAGAAACCATA